GTCATTGGAAAAACACAAGTGTCAAATACAAATCATCATCACAAAATATCAGAGTGCCACAAAATGCCCAGTAACAAATCTCCCAACGAGTGTGTACAATCAGACATTTGCCTTCCCGCGATCCTCAGAAGTACCTAAAACACATATAATCAACAACTATAAGCACGAAGCTTAGTGAGTTCCCCAAAATACCACATACAATACAACATAAATAAAAAACTGGGTTATCAGCAACCGTGGGGACTATCAGCAGTCCCAGTGGGCAAACAACACGCCCTGTGGGTTATCAGCAACCATTTTTTTATGAATCTAAGCACTCTAATACATCTAAAAGGACAACCAAAATACTATAGAGTAACCCATAATCACAAAGGTCCAAGCTTTGGGACAAAAATCTCATAAAAACCCATCTAAAGATATCTAAGAAGAACATTAGCAATGTATGGACTTTATACCTTCAAAAGATGCACACGATGAAGGAGTTTCTGGATCCACAAGCTTGCATGCAACACCACCTTCCTCAAGGACCTTCTTTCTCAACAAGAATGCACAAAATCACCAAAAAGACTCCACGATCTTCACTCTCAAAGTTAGGGTTCGATATTAAGGCTAAAATAGAGTGGAGGCTGATTATGGGAGGTCCAAGGGTGAGTTAATGTTTTTAAATAGGGATGAAACCCTTTAATTTAGGGTTTAGAGGTTGAGCTAGTACGTCCCGCGTACCACATGTACGCCCAACATACTAGCATGGCTTCTGTGTTCCAGGTCTCTCACAAGTACGATGCACGTACCTCACGTACGCCCAACGTACGGACTGAAGTGCAAGTCTTTTAACAAAAAAGGGACCAACAATGTAAACTTTAATTAGGCCAAGGGATAGAATGGAAATACCTGAAAATCGGATGTTACACATTCATTGTTCCAAAAGACGATCATAGTCAAAGTATTCTCAAAACATCAGAGTAAAATCATAAACAATCAATGCATAATTAATCTACACATTTTAAACATAAACCGTAAACTAGAAGTACTTGAGAACATTTAAACATAAACGGTAAGCACAAAACTTAGTGAATTTCCCCAAAATACCCCACACAACAATACACATACCATACATGCACACATGAGCCTTCTGTCTGACTGGACCGCCTCGCAAGGCCTATAGGATACCTGGACCGCTCTACTGAGCCTACAGTTGATTGGACCTCCTCGAAAGGCCTACAATTGCTGGACCACTCCCTTGGGACTACAGTCTAACTAGACCGCCTCGCAAAGGCCTCAATACACTAGACCGCCCGGGTATCTTGGCCTACAACACCAAGCAGGACCGCCTCAACCCAACCAAAACATGTCGACATGTGCACATAAAAAACAAAAATATAATAGCCAACAATACATGTAATCATAACAGATCTATCAATCTAACATACCACTAGCAACATCTTATATACAATGATACATAACATAATCTAGTGGACTAACATTGGTACCTTCGAACCACGAGTATAGTGAGAAACTCACTGACCCCCGAGATCAGCTAAACCACAGCTCAATGCCCCGTTATAGATGCTACAACCCTCATATCAAAACATACTAGGTATAACCTTATTCTACATACTAGATCCAACAATCTTGACTAAAGTCAACCTAGGTCAATAAGTCAACGATCCAAGGTTAACCATCAAAGTCAATAGCCTAAAATCACCTCAGCGAATCGCCATGTTGTGGCTTTCCATTGGCCATGTCGTGGCAGCGCAAAGACAAAACAGTCGAGTAGCCTCCCAGTCGCCATGGCGTGGTAGCTATGTCTTAACAACTTAACCAATTAAGTTGTTTTCTTTGTCTTTAAGAGCTCCAAATCTCATATATGATACACCCCAAGGTCTTAATGGATAAAGTTTCCAACTTTATCCCTTAATCATCCCAATAAGCCAAAACTTCTAACCCTAAGTCCTTAATGACATCTTAAGACCCGAGTTAATCCATTAAGCCCTTAATCAACCAAGTCACCCACCCAAACTTTCCAGAAGACTTTCATACTACACCATAAAAATCTATGCTTTATGGACATGCATGTCCAATGCATGTCTCACCCAAAATAGGTCCAAACCAAGGAAGAAAAGGGCTCAACTTAAGCATGAGGCCAAATACACCAAGGAAAACTAGATCTGGAACATATAACTTCAAATGGACATCTAGGATTCATAAAGTTGCCAATTTTATGGAATCTATTCCTTCAAACTCTCACAATATGAAAAAAGGAAAAGAACCCTAGATCTAGAAACACATACTAGAAAGATTAGAACTTTAATACTCAAAATGGTCCAGAATATGCTCAAGGTGATGATGATGAAGTTGGCTTGCTGGATCAATGCACCAAAACACCCTCTTCTTCTTCTTCTTCTTCAAGGCACCAAGAATACCAAAATGAACTAAAACTCACCAAGGAAGGCTAAGGTTTTGAGGTAGAGGGTTGGACGTTGAAGAGGACGTCATAATCCTCTGGAAATATTGCTTAAATATGGGAGGAAACCCTAAATTTACGGGCTTGGGCCAGAATAGCTGTCACATCGTGGCCAACCCATTGCCACGTCGTGGTCAACCCATTACCACGTCGTGACACTCATTAAAACACGCGTTCCATTTATTCCAAGCCACATCGTGGCCATCCTTGCACCACGTCGTGACACATAGTTTTTCCCAAAACTCCAGCTTTGGTCCCTGATAAATATTAAGCTAAACCAATCTGGGACACGGGTGTTACAAATTTGATTTTCATTATTAACTTTTGTTCGTTAACCTAAAAAAACTATTTTTACGTGTTTATTTTTATATATTTGTCGGTATAATTCAAGGTAATCAACGTTTCGACTTTAATTTAGAATGTTATTTCGTTATTTTTTTTTAAATTAAATGTTTTTTTCCATAAACTTTTCGGTTTACATTCGAGTTTGTCTACGTTTCGACGTAGTTTTTGTTTTGTTTTGTTTTTTTTAAACGTTTTTGTGTTTAACTTTATGTATGTTTCCTACGTATGAGACGGGTCACATATAATAACTTTCTTTTGTTAATTTTAAAAAACGCATTACATTCGAGTTTCGTCTACATTTTGACATACCTTTTTTATGATTTCGTGCTTACTTTTATGTATGTGTTTTTTTACGTCGAAACGTAACTTTTATCAATATAATTGTCAAAATTCAATTTACAAAATTCGGTGCATATTATTACGTTTTTATCTATTATATGTGAACAAACCCATATGTAGGAACATAAAAATAAGCACCAAAACATACTAAAATTTTTTACATCGAACCATAAAAAAAAACTCAAATTTATATCGACACGTGCATAAAAATACGTAAGATTGTTTTAAGTTAATGAACGAAAGCTTAAATAATTAAAAACATATTATATGTGACCCGAGTCATACGTATGAAACTTACATAAAATCAAGTACGAGAACGTTAAAAAAAATTCGGTTTGCGTAGACGAATTTGAATCTATACTGATACGTGAAAAAACATAAAAAAAAGTTACGTCGAAACATAGACAAACTCGAAGATAATACATTTTTTAAAGTTATTGAACGGAAGTTATTATATGTGACCCGAATGATACGTATGAATATAAATAAAATTAAACAAAATAAAAAAAATTACGTCGAAACGTAAACAAACTCGAATATAATATGTTTTTTAAAATTAACAAACGAAAGTTATTATATATGATCCGTCTCATACGTAAGAAACGTAAATAAAGTTAAATACAAAAGCGTAAAAAAAAACTACGTCGAAACATAGACAAAATCAAATTTAAACCGACAAGTTTATAAAAAATCATGTAATTTTTTTAATAAAAAATTAATGAAATAAAGTTTTAAATTAAAGTCGAAACATTGACCACCTTGAATTATAACGACAAATTTCTAAAAATAAACACGTAAAAATAGTTTTTTTAGATTAACGAACGAAAGTTATTAATGAAAATCAAATTATATATAATACTGAGTTAAACACATAAATTTAGAAAATAGAGGAGTGAAAGTAACATTTTTCAAAGTTCAAAGTGATATTTTTAAAAAATAAAGGAGTGGAAAAACCACAAACTGATAAACATCAAAATATAGAAAAAAATTACATAAATGGTCAATATGGTTTACCCATAGTCACAAACTCAGTCTTTGCTAATTGAAAAAACTAAAATACTCTCATACTAACAGATGAACAGTAACGACTTCAGCAAAAATGATCATTCACGCAAGTTTTGGAAATCACAAAGACGATGTTCGTAAAAAAAATTAAAAGAGACTGAGTTTGTGACTTTAATTAACAATACAAACCATTTTTATAGTTTTGTCTTATTTTAATTGAAAAAATATAATAAATTTAAAAACTTACAAAGCAATTGTAATAGTATGTTAGACATGCAACATTGGAGAAAAATATCACGCGTTCATATAAAATAAAGAATATATATGTGAAAGATATTTTGACTAAAAGTACTTTTGAAGTTCAACAAACTTGAGCTGCTTTAAAACATTATGAACGAGTTTTAGAAAACTAATTAAAAATATATCAATATTTAAATGTTGTTTCTTTATAAAAAAGTAATTATATTGAAGATATTTTGTATTAAAAATCTAGAAAATGGCTTTATATTTTAAAATAATTATTTAATTGATTATATGATTTGCCCTTATAAACCGTCCTAAAAAATTCATTACCTTTTATTTAATAAAAGTTTTACCAACATGTGATAAAGGTCTATGATTGTATATTTATGTTTAATATAAGTTGAAAATTGATAAAGCATATGCAACAGTACTAAGTTTATTAGTAATTTATAATTTATAATATAATTTTAAAAGAAGTTATTTAAAATAAATAATGAAAACCTAAGTTGTAGTAAAATTATTTGTGAATTTATATAGTAAAATAGCAAACTTAAAATATATTTAGAAAAAAAATGCTATTCTCGTCGACGTTAACTTTTTTATTTTTACATGAGATGGCATTATTGGCAGGCTTCCAGAGATTTGGGCACGTTGCAGATAAAGATACTTCCCATCATTTTCCTGTAATTTAGTTTCAAAATGTTCAACCAATCAACCCTATAAATTCAATCTCCAATCGCACTCTCAATTCATCTCTTGATTCAAACACCGCATTGTAACGGATTACGCTCTCACATTTCTTTAATCCTGTAAGTATCAATGTTAATTTCGTTTCTTTTCATGATTCCATCTTTGAATATTATATGTATGCTTTCTGATTCTTCGAAATATTTTGAACACATTCATTTCGCTCCTTCTAAATCGTAAATGCTATTGAAACTTTAACGATTTTGGTTTTATACCTTTTGGTTCTGATCTTGTGTGTGTTGAATGTTCTTGATGGTTAATGGATCGTATTTACCCTTCGCGTAAATTTAACGCTTGGAAATTGCATTTTGTTATATCATTGCAATCTCTATTTAACCATCGACGCCATTTTTTTTTTCTTCTTACCATGATTATTTAGTTTGGCAAAGGTAAACGGATAATCAAATCCAAACACATGGAACTATAATATGAGTTTCGTTTCCTCTATCCAATTTAAAATTTGAAATGCTATTTCTTTTCCTTTACTATTTTGATGGACTTGTCCATTTTGGAACATTAATACTTGTCGAGTTTTCTTCATTCAGATGGAATTCTTTTTGATTTTGTTTATTGATGCCAAGTTTCCTTGTTTTGGGGGATTACATCAAATGAACTTCTTTTAGATTATTAATTGAGATGGATTAGTTTGTGTAAAGTTTTGTATTCCTTATATCCATGTTTGTTTGCTTGATCTGCTTTAAAACATGAAAAAAATTGAATATTTCTTTAGTCAAAAGGATATTTTAGGGTTGTTAATTAATGCAAGGTGTTCCTTGTGGGGGTTTGATAATCGAGATAAATGAGTTTTGTTTTAGTTTTGTATTATTAATTGGTATGAATTTAAACCCTTTATAGACCACATACCTTTTACAGGATCAGCTTTTATTTTCATTGTAGTTCTACATAATTGTTTAAACTCCACTACTGTAAATTTTAGTATATCTTACTTTCTGGTTTTGGGGTGCTCCCTAAAATTTTCAACAATTATATTTGTATAGATTTTACACAATCATTCAATATGGAATACGAAAACGGATACCAACAACAGATTCCAACATCAAAATATGAATGCCTTCTCTTTGGTAAGCCTCTAATTTCTTTATCTTACATGTTTCATCTTTTGCAATTTTTACTAACATACAATATCAACTTATAAAACCTTCTTTTCTTCACCTTTAGATGTTGATGATACCCTTTATCCTCTAAGCTCTGGGTTATCAGCACAGTGCACCAAAAACATCAGAGGTATTGCATAATGCATACATTCATGAACTTTCTTGATCATTACATTTTGTTAAATATATAGTAAACAAAGTTAACTCATGATCTTTGTTACATGAACACATTATTTAGAGTATATGGTGAATGAGCTTCACATAGAGGAAACCAAAGTTCCAGAAATGTGTGCTACACTCTACAGAGATTATGGAACAACAATGGCTGGTCTTCGGGTATAATCTCAACTGTTAACCATGAATCATGATCTTTATAAAATCTTTAAAAAAAAAAGACTCTGACTAATCTTTTTTACAGGCACTTGGGTATGAATTCGATTATGATGAATACCATAGGTACCAAATCATTACATTTCCACTTTTTTTTATCTCTAAAAAACCTTCAGAATCATAATTTATATAATCTTGAATTTTTTACAGTTTTGTACATGGAAGATTGCCCTATGAATATTTAAAACCCGACCCGGTTCTCAGAACTCTTTTACACAGTTTACCCTATAGGAAAGTGGTAAGCTTTTTCTTTCCTTTTTTTAATGAAACACAAACACTTTATACTTTCTATGAAAACTCATATATCAAAATTTCACCACAGATTTTTTCAAATGCAAATGAAGCCCACGTGGCAGAAGTTCTTCACAGACTTGGATTGGAAGATTGCTTTGAAGATGTCATATGTTTCGAGTCTCTAAACCCTAAAAACCAAATCATCAATTCTGATTCTCCTAAAAGCTCTGTTACTGGAAATGATGATGTCAGCAAACGTGATGTTGTACTACCAGAAAGTCCCATTGTCTGTAAACCCTTTGAAAATGCATTCCAACAAGCTTTCAAAATGGCAAAAATTACCCCTCATAAAACCGTAAGTTATCTTAAATCTCCATTTATCTTATTTTCCTACATTAATAAGTTTTCTTGATGAATCTTGAAAATTTTAATTTTTTTGGGTTTCAGTTGTTCTTTGATGACAGTATACGCAATATACAGACTGCAAAACTTACAGGACTTAGTACTGTGTTGGTAAGTTGATTTTTGGATTGAGTATAAAAAAAAAAGTTGATGTTTTTTGTTTTGTTGAATATTTTATAATGATTTTTTTTTTTTTGGGAAAAAGGTTGGGTGTTCACAGAGGAAGAAAGGGGTGGATTATGCTTTGGAGAGTATTCATAATATAAGGGAAGCATTGCCAGAGTTGTGGGAGTTGGTTGATCAGAAGTTGAAAGATGGTTGCTATTCTCAAGAGATTGGAATCGAGACTCGTGTGCAAGCTTAGATCCACATTTGTGTTTTTCTTTATCTTGCTTCATGTAATTGTCCATTTCAATTGTTAATGTAAATGGTTGTTTTAACTTTAGAATGTCAAATATGTAAATTATGTACTTTAAATTTGTTAATAAATGTGTTAGGTTTGTGGTTCTGAGCCTAAGACTACTTCGGTACTTCCATTGGCATGATTTGGGCGAGCCACTCGCCAATTATGAATTATAAGAAAATGAAAATTAAATGAATTTTGGTGAGAACTAGGCCACCACCACAACACAGCTCACACATTTTTTGCTGCTCTCGAAGATTGAAACACGTTTCATTGTTACAGATGTCAACAAGTCGTACTAAAAATTCAGTCATTTCGGGTACAAACTCTAGGATAACTACGTTGTCCGGATTATAAATTCAAATCGCTCTACCTTCATTTTCTGTAATCATATTATGCATTATAATACATGCATGTATCATTCATTTTATTCTATCCATATCCCAGAGTCGTATAACGTATTTCACTACTTGTCATGTCTGCTTGACGACTCCAAATGTCCTCTCGATATCTTTTCTAGCTGATTGTTGTTTTTTTGTGAACAACTTTGCATTTTCAGTTCGAGGTACCGAGTATGTCTTCATAAATGTAGAATAATCAGGGTATATCTCATCACAAAGGTAATAACCATATTTGTAGGAATGCTCGTTCACCATGAACAATATATCAGGTACTTTGTCGGTCCAAATATCGTTGAAAATAGGGGACTAGCCAAGAACATTAATGTCGTTGTTAGACTCTGCAACTCCAAAGAACGAATGTCATATCCACAAATCCTGAGATGCAACAGCTTCTAGTATTATACTTGCCTCACCTATATCACCTTGAGTAAATTGACCGCGTCACGCATTTGGACATTTTTTCCCTGCCACATGCTTACAGTCAAGGCTACCAATCATTCCCGAAAATCTATTCTTCTTTTCATGAGTCAAATATAATCTCTTAATATCACGTGCAATAGGTTTACACAAATATTCTTTATGATAAACCTCATACACATGCACAAAACCAATCTACACAATTAATTGCGAACCTCTCGGATACTTTCAAGTACTCATCGGATGCATCAAAGGTTATATCGTATCCCAAATATCTAAGCGCAACCGTACATTTTTGTATACTACTACAACTCATTCTTCCTCTAGCATCGGGTTTTTGTTTAAAATAACCATAACGGACATCTAAAACATTACTAATAGGTAAAAATATAGACTTATTTAGACGGAAACGACATTCGAATGACTCATCATTATAAAGACAATTAACGGCAAAATAATCATGTATCAATAAGTCATGTGCGGCTTGACGGTCTCGATTGACAACCACTCTTGTATTTGTAACATCCGTACATTCTTCATCGTGTATATGTTGCACAACATTGAAGAACGTCGAGATAAATTCTTCGTCGTCATCCGAATCAAAATTCATGAAGAAATCTATAATATGATTTTTTAGAATGTAAAATAGATGAATGGTTTGTAAAGGTTCATGTAAATGTTGTGTTTATATAGGTAATGTTTATATATTTAAAAAAAATCAGTCGTTCAACAGCTAGTCAACAAGTTAAAGGGAGGAATTACACTCATTGGTTGTTGTTGCTCGTTGAACGGACCACCATGGACCACGAAGATCTGGGGTGGTGTGCATGGACAATGATCGCAGCCATGTAGACCACGACCCTTCTCGTTGTGGATATTGCAGAAGGCCTAATTTTGTCACTGCCCTGAAAAAGATGAAAGAATACGACCCTGAAGGTTGGTGTCCAGTGTCAGAGCTTTGTAACAAGGATCAACGAAAAGTCACCTTAAAAGAAGGCGTTGAATTTATTTTGAAGCAACTTAAACAAAGAAACAAAATCGAGGTTGAAGATGACTGCACCTAGGGTAAAATTTGATCAATATCTATAGTTTGGGGACTGTGAATAGTGGAAAAGCGTTTTGACCTCATTGTACACTGCTCAATTTACAAACACAAAAAGCATCGAGTCTACAGGGGTGGTTCTAAGGGGTTCCCGGTATGGCACCGGCAACACCTACTTTTTCTGTCCGCAGTGGAAAAAATTTTGATTTTTCGATTTTTTTACCTATTTTTCATGTATCGGCAACACCTACTATGTATTCATGCGTCCGCCCGTATGTGTCTAGTCCTCTTATGGTTTGAAAAAGAAAACCGTTAATTGTATACACAAGAGTTCATTGGTTTTGTTTCAATGATCTTATTTCAACCAATTGAAAAAGGGAGGTAAGCATCATCAAATATAATGTCTAATCTCTTTAAGTGTAAACTCGGGATCTCCATTTAGGCACCGTCTCGTTATCCAACACAATATCTCTCAAAACTTCACATAAACCCAAGAATTGCAAGGCCCTCTCATCCCCTAGCCAATTCCAACACCTCCCATTATTCCATCTCACCTAAACATTACACTGAGGATCTCTATATCCAAGTAGTATAGCCGAGGAAATCGGTTCTTCAACATCTCATCACCAATCCAAACCTTCTGCAAAAACTTTGTAGTATCACCCCTTCCCTTTTTTGAAACCGAGGAATGGGTAATAATATTTTTTTCATGCATATTTTTTAGCCAAAAAGAAGATGGAAAGAAATTACGTAGCTTTGATGATGATGATGAACAATTCAATGATGTCTAACACTTCAACGCCGACGATTCAATATTTTGAAAACCAATTCAACGACTTTGACTTAGAGGAATCTATATTTCTGATTACATGATTGCGATTTAGATAGTTGGTTTTCAATATTTGTTAAACCGGGCAAACTAAATCAAGAAAAGTGACTTACGGTTTTAACCCGGTAATAAACATGTAACTTGGTGTCTTCCATCACTTATACATATAAATAACCGAAAAAGAGAAATGGTAAATTGGTATTTATGTCGATGGTCATGAAAAAAAAGAAAGTCAAAAAAAGTAGCAAACCGACAAATTGGTTTCCACGTCTAATCGCTACTATAAAGTATAAAGTATTCTTTTTTGTCATTTCAACAGGAATGCAATAAGTTGAATTATAATAACTTAAAATTACTTAATCTAGTTCATTAATATTACAATTCTTAACACATTCAAATACATAATAATAATATACACCATCGTTTACACAATAAGTGTATCAAATACGTAAATATCAGACTCCCATCATTAAAATGCACAATTACAAATGAAGATTTAATTAGAACCATGATGTTAGATCTAGAACACAATTGTAAATCTAAGCTTTCACATGAGTCTCAATTCCAATCTTTCGAGAATAGCGACCACCTTTTGACTTTTTGACCGATTCCCATAACTCCGGCAGTGCTTCTTTGATGTTATGAATGCTCTCTAAAGCATAATCCACCCCTTTCTTCTTCTGTGAAAATCCAACCTGTTTCCAAAAATAAAAATCATATAAAATAAAATATTCAACAACAAAAATATCAACTTTTTATACTCAAACCAAAAATCAACTTACCAACACAGTATTAAGTCCTGTAAGTTTTGCAGTCTGTATATTACGTATACTGTCATCGAAGAACAACTGAAACCCAGAAAAAAAAATCAAGATTCATCAAGAAAACTTATTTATGGAGGAAAATGAGATAAATGAAGATATAAGATAACTTACGGTTTTCAGAGGGGCAATTTTGGCCATTTTGAAAGCTTGTTGGAAAGCGTTTTCAAAGGGTTTACAGATAATGGGACTTTCTGGAAGTACAACAGCATGTTTGCTGACATCATCATATCCAGTAACAGAGCTTTTAGGGGATTTAGAATTGGTGATTTGGGTTTTAGGGTTTAGAGACTCGAAACATATGACATCATCAAAGCAATCTTCCAATCCAAGTCGGTGAAGAACTTCTGCCACGTGGGCTTCATTTGCATTTGAGAAAATCTGTGGTGAAAATTTGATTCAAATGTTCATCGAGTTTTTGAGAAAGTAGAACAAAAAAAAGTATTAAAAAAGCTTACCACTTTTCTAATGGGCAAGCTGTGTAAAAGAGCTTTTAGAACCGGGTCGGGTTTCAGATATTCATAGGGCAATCTCCCATGGACAAAACTGTAAAACACCAATATTTATATATTATATGATCAGATTTTGAGGATTATTTAGAGATAAAAAAAAAAGGAAAATACCGTCAATAGTAAAAAAATAGGGGGTAATTTTAAAATTTAGACATGAAAATGGACATTTCCAGGTATAGACATACATTCCGCGGAGGTAGCTCCGCGGAATGGATCTACAAATTTTTTTTTTTGTCACATCATTTCTTCGGGGTTTATATTAATTCCACAACTAATTATTTTCAAGAAAAAGATTATGATAGTATGATAATTTTTGCTTGAAAATAATTAATTGGGGAATGAATATAAACCTCGAAGAATCGATGTGAAAAAAAAAAAAAAAAAAAAAACTGAAGATCCATTCCTCGGAGCTACCTCCGCGGAATGAGTTCATTCGGAGGTAGCTCCGTGGAATGGATCTTGAGGTTTTTTTTTTTTTTAATACACTCATTTATTTACGATTTTGCCATTCCGGGGAGCTACCTCCGCGGAATCCATGTCTATATCCGGAAATCCAATTTTTTATGTCTATTTTTTGAAAATACCTCCCATTTTTTTTACTATTGCAGGTATTTCCAAAAAAAAAAAAAAAAAAAAAAAAAGGTGAAATGAGATGATTTAGTACCTATGGTAGTCATCATGGTCAAAATCATACCCAAGAGCCTGTAATTAAAAAGAAAAAAGTTGACTTTAATTTTATATTTCGATTTCAAGATTTAATAAAGAAGATGGTTTAAAATTGAGATTATACCCGAAGACCAGCCATTGTTGTCCCATAATCCTTATAGAGTTGAGCACACATTTCTGGAACTTTGGTTTCCTCTATGTCAAGTTTTTTCACCATATACTCTAGAAAATATATTCATAAAACAAATATTATAAGTTAACTTTGTTACAGTTTTAAAAATATAAGATGATTAAGAAAGGGGGTGAATGTATGTAATACCTCTGATGTTTTTGGTGCACTCTGCTGATAATCCAGAGCTTAGAGGATAAAGAGTATCATCAACATCTGAAGAGCGAACACAGAAAGATTTCAAAATGCCATAAAAAGTGCAATAGTCAGAAAATGCACAAAATACATTGAGAAATTAGAGACTTACCGAAGAGAAGACATTCATATTTCGATTGTGGGATTTGTTGTTGGTATTCATTTTTGAATTCCATTTTAAAAACGAAAGTGATTAATCTGCAAAATCATATAAAAATTTAGATCAATTGACAACCCAAAAGAATCCTTTCAACTGAAGGAATAGTCGGATATATTCATGTTAGAAATGGATCAAGCAACCGAACTTCATGGATAAGGAACAGAAAAACACACGCAAACTTATTCATCTTAATTAGCAATCTAGAAGAAGTGCATTTGATTGAAAATGAAGTAAAAAGTCATCAATTGTCAATCCCCCAAACAAGAAAACTCTGCATCGATAAATTCTTCCATTTGACTGAATAAATTCATCATCAAAATTCAAATATAGACATCTCCATCGATGAGTGAAGAATACAATAACCAAAAAACATTCAACCATCTAAATACAAGTTGCAATGACCACTCCTCAAAGGATTTTTGAACGGAAAAACGCACAAACTACTTTAAGTTTAAAATCCATCGATCAAAGTTAAGTCAAAATCATAGTCGTATGTGGTTGAATTCTTCCCCTGTCCTACAGTTGTAGGATCCATTGCAAAACAAATAAAATCACAATCGGAAATTTTAATCGGGACTTGTGTAAACAGTGATTCCAAATTGTATAAAAAACATTAACAAAATTTACGCAAAGCGGAATCCATGCTTCATAACAAGAACTTTTCAAGACACAAAAAGGCAGATCCAAAAGGTGTATGAACAAATTTTGTAAAGTTGCAGGTAGCATTTACGATTTGAATAAGTAATCGAAATAATGTGTGAAAATATATAAAAGAATCGGTAGGCATATAGATATGTATAGATGAAATCATTAGAAACGAACGAGATTAACATCAGACACTTACAGGAGAGGAGATGATAGGATAAGTGGGAATGTAAAAGTTATGATGGTGGGTTACGAATGAAGAGATAGGCAATGAATGTTGTATTTATAGGGTTTAGAAAAAAGCGTAAGTGGGCGGTTGAAGACTGAAGTTTTTGAAACCAAATAGAGGAGGAAACCGATGAGAAGAAGGTTCGACGTGGCGAAATCTCGCTGCAATATTTTAGGATATTTTATGATTGTTAATTCGGTGGCTATTCATATATGAACACGTGGATGAATTTGTATAAAGTGAAACTTTTATTCATATTTTTAACTTTTTACATTATAGGAGACTCAAATAATAAGTTCGTGTAAAATCTTATAGAAAATCTTTATATATATATTTTTTATAATTGATTTAGTTTTTATATTTTTTATTCCTAAAAAGTATAATTATTTGTATTTTGATATTTTTAATCGGTAACCGTTTGCAAAATAAAATAAGATGATTTTTTTGAAAATATGATATAAATATAAGGATTTTATTAAATATATTGTTTTTAGTCTTTTTAATATTATCTTATTATCTTAGTATAATGTTAATGTTTCTGTATGACACCTGGTAAAATTTTACTATTATCTTATATTATTTCTTTACTATTATCATATAATATTCTTTTTAAAATAAACATAAGAATCTGAAAATTATAAAGAAGTTTATCTTTAGAAAAAAAAACATTTGTTAAACTAATGATATCAAAGTTGTTAAAATAACGATCTTGATCCTATGATCGTATGATCACCTAGGTAAGTTGGGAAAAATGACTTAATAAACCACTTGGGTTGTGGTGACTTGGTAAGGCATGTGGAAGATATGGTGGATAACCTATTGACTCATGTTCAAATCCTGACACCACTCAGCCCTTGTGGCCATGGAGGTTCGTCTGCAGTGACTCCAGGGCATGAGGCAAAGCCTCATGTTTGCAGCGGGGGATTAGTCGGTGCACGAAAGCTGGCCCGGAAACCCTCGTTAGGGAAGTTCCCTTTCCAAAAAAAATGACTTAATAGAGTAATATATTTGTTACACATTTGTTACCCCTTTAGTCCTTTAACTTGTTAAACTATACACATTCAGTCTGTAACACTTGAATCTTGGAATGTTTAATTATTGCCCCTTTGTTATTTAAAAGTTGCACTTTTGGTCTTTGGGTAGTACGCGGGGCGTACCACATGGTACACTTAGTGTACTAGCTGAGAAGCCGGTACGCAAGGCGTACCACATGTTACACTTAGCGTACTGATGCGAGGCTTGATCGGGACTCCGGACACGTATGCGGGACGTACACTTATGTAAGCACCTTAAGTCTTTAGGGTGATGCACCCTATATAAGCACCTTAAGTCTTTAGGGTTGACCTCTTTACCAACCTCTAAGCCTCCAAAACCCTAGAAATCGTCCCTTAGCCTCCATTGTTGTGCTTTTGAGTCCTTAAGAAGTATTTGGTGGTTGTTTTGCTCCTTGTGAAGGAAGTATAGAAGATTGAAGGTGTTTTGCTTGGTGAGAAGGTTATAGATCCATAATCATCACCCTTATTGTAAGCATAATGAGGTATCAAATTCAAACCTTGTCTTCTCCATGATTAGATCTCTTCATTTCTTAGTTTTTATGCTCGTGATCCATTTTTGAGTTGGTTTGAGGAGTTGGGTCGTTTTAAGGACTTATTCTTTTAGATCTGAGCTTATTATGGACTCCTTAGGCATAAAGGTGCAAGCTTGATGGGATTTTTGGTCACATGCATGCATTAAGTCACTTATTAAGTCCTCTTGAGCTTTAAGAGCTTCATTTAGCCATGCATAAACGTAAAGTTAGCAATTTTACGTGATGATCCAACTCAAGGAAGTCACATCTACGTTTTGGAGCAATGTCTTAAGGGATTAAGGGCTAAATGTGAAAGGTTGTTGAATAGGAGGAGTACGATGGGCGTACAAGCTAGTACACGCAACGTACAAGCCCTAAAGCGTGTACTCTTAGCGTACAGCTGGGTACGCCCCACGTACTCAGTCTGATGGGTTTTGCATTTTGGGCTTCGAGTTTGGGCTATTCTATTGGGATTAGGTGCTTGGGGGTCTTGTTGGGCCATCTGAATGCAAGTGTCTGGACTAGGAAAAATTGGTGGGCCTTAGGGTAAGGCCCATATAAGGGTTTAGGCCCAATTTGGAAAATTCGGCCATGTTTGGGCCTTGGATGGTTAGTTGATTTTTGGGCCTTTTAGATTGTGAGTTTGGGCCTTAGTTTTGGACCAAACTTGGTAAGGGGTAAAATGGTATTTTTACCCTAAGTATGGATTGATGGTTATAGATTGGAATCCAATTATTAATTGGATGTTATTTGGTATTAATAGTTCGGGGATTCGTCGGATAGCAGCCAGAGATTCAGTCGTGTGATTCAGCAGTTGAAGTGAGTTTCCTTACTGGGTTTAGCGGGTCTAAGGCACAAATGATGACCCTTGTTATTTATGTTAGGATGCTAGGAGTGTGCGTGACCCTTGCATGTGATATGCGCTGCTATGTATACCGGGAAGGGCTCGATGTCGGGCGAGGCCCGATGACTGTATCGTATGCTATTGTTTTATGATCATTGTATGTGTTAGTATGATTATGTGATATATGTTCATGTGTATAGTAGGTGGGGCCCGATGTCAGGCGGGGCCTAAGAATAACGGGGCTCGATGTCAGGCGGGGGCCCGGTATGTGATTTATTTGTTGGAACCTGAAAGTGAACCTCTAGCAATCCTAAGTACATATTCCGAAGTATGATTGATTCCGAAGGAAGATGTGATCCGGAACCTGTCCGGAGCTGGAGAAAAGAAGAGTGAAGTATTTTGAAGAGGAACACATTTCGGAGCTGATCCTGAAGTCCGGAATGTATGCTGATCCGGACCAAACCTTCATCTCCGGAACATTACTTGTCCGGAATGAAGTCTTTATGTCTTTAGTGCATTTATTACTTTTGTCTTGTATGTGATGTAACGTTTCATAGGACTTAGTCTAAAGTTGATTTAGGACAATCAGAATGTCAGACTTGTGTCTTTTGTCCGGTCCTATGTAAACACTTGGGTTAATTCACTGTAACATTCTCTCCTATATATAGGAACATTCAATACAAGTCAACTACGGATCTTTCACTCACTTTTGGCATTTACTCTTATCACATTGAAAACATTCTTCTTGTTATTCATTTATCAAACTTTACCTTGATCATTATCTACTTGTTCTCAACTAATGTCTTGATCATTTGTTGAACTGATTATCTAAGACTTGACTGGTCTTTCCAGTCTTGACTTGAACATCCATTATCAAGCAAACATTGATCTTAAGCATTCACTCAAGGTTTGAGTTCTCAAACCTTGTCCCTGCGCATAGATCTTGTTCTCACAATTGGTATCAGAGCTCGAGTGGTTGTCCTTTGAATCCATAAGATCAGATTATAGTTGGTTTGAATTTACCTTGGTATTTCAACCATTTCTGTGTTAAGGATAAAAGTTCTTCTATATACCACTTAAGCTTAAAGATATCTTGACTTCAATGGCTGCTTCAAATCCTCAGCAAATGATTTCAATGCAAATCGCAAATAGCGTGGGTGGCCCTACACGTGCCCCATTGCTAGTTGTGGAAGAATATGATCATTGGAAAGTTAGAATGGAAAGGTTTTTACTAGCAAAAGAGAAAGGTGAACAAATCTGGAGATCCGTCAAAGAAGACCCTCATGTTCCTGTAAGAACAGTTGTAAGAGATGCAGCTGCTCAGCTCATGTGAGAGGATGAAGCTCGTCCAGCCCCTCTAACTGCTGATGATATTGAGAAGCTGCGTGTTGATCAAGTTGCCTTCTCAGAAATGGTGTTTGGTGTTCCTCCATCACTCTTTGAGCACATCAAGCTATGCAAATCAGCCAAAGAAATTTGGGATACTCTTCAGGATCTGATCGAAGGTTCCGAAAATATGAAGGACAAGCGCCTCACCTCGGTTGTCAATAACTTTGACACCTTCACCACTACTCCAGGTGAATTTGTAGCCTCATCCTCCAACCGATATCGAATCGTTGTCAACAACATGACTGCTCATGGGATTGTTTGAACTCCTCTCAAGTACAATCTCAAGTTCATTAACAGCCTTGGTAAAGGATGGGGAAATGTAAAGTCCTGTCTTCAAAGCAATGGTTCCTTAAAAAAATTGAAACTCTATCAACTTTTTGATGAGCTTCAAGGACATGAATCAAACGTTGCTCAAACCATAAGGGAACTTTCTGGAGGACCACTTCCTCTCGTCAGTTCCTTTGAATCAACCATTCTGAACCCACCTGCTCCGGAACCTTACAAACCCACTGTTCCATTAACTCAGTCATCCTTAACTTCTTTACCCACACACATCTATCCTGACGATGATTCCGAAACCTTAGATTCCGAACTCCGTTTCCAACAAGAATTTGCCTTACTCTCAATGAATACAAACGACCTTTCAATCCCTCTTACAAGCCATACCAAAACAGATTCAGTGCTCCTCAACCATATTCCTCTCCGGAACCGAAACAGACCTCTGAAAATCCTCCTGCATACAAGCCCAACCTCACTAAACCAAACTCCGCTCCGGAATCTTCTCAAAATTCCAAATCAGACAAACCAAAGATCTTGTGTCATAAATGTGGTCATGCAAACCACTTTGCCAAAGATTGTCTAGCTGATGCTCCACAAAAACCAAAAGTCAAAGATTCAGCTTATTATGTCCGAAGAGCACAAGAAATGGCTGAAAGTGAGAAGGAATTTGTTACTACAGTTTCAAGAGATGTCGAAGGATATTGGTCATCCGGAGATGATGATGATTTAGTGATTGGAAGAAACATGTGTTTGATGGCAAGACAAACGGTTGAATGTGATGAAGGCTATTGGTCTTCTGGGTCCGAAGATGAAGATGATGTTGCTGAACCTCACTACTGCTACATGGCCACTAACGATCCACCAGGTCGAAGCATCGTTCAGCAGGTAAAATCCATGATCTCTGATAATAATTTTGATTTGAATTTATGTGAACCTTATCTGAACCAGATCCAAACAGATATGAACACCATCTATAAAGCCTATGAGTCTGCCATAGAAGCCAGTGAGAAGAAGGACTGTGAACTAAGTCG